CCTCACCCCATCACCGCCCCGAAGGGTCATGCCCTCTTGGGCAGATCAACACGGGCTGATATGAAGCAAGTCCAAGCAATGCTTAAACTTGCTACCTGTGACCACCTTGGTCAACATGTCTGCTGGATTCTCATTCGTGTGCACCTTCATGAGAGAAATATCACCTTCCTCTATGACATCCCGCACAAAATGATACCTGACATCGATATGCTTGGTACGAGCATGATGAACTTGGTTCTTCGCCAAGTGAATCGCACTTTGACTGTCGCACCACAAGTTCACGTTCTCCTGCTCAATCCCCAAATCGTCTAGAAGACCCCACAACCACAATGCTTCCTTCACTCCCTCCGCCATGGCCATGTACTCGGCCTCTGTAGTAGAAAGTGCCACTGTAGCCTGCAACATCGATCGCCAACTAACTGGAGCTCCATGTATTTTGAATACATAACCAGTAGTAGATCACCGTCTATCTAGATCGCCCGCATAATCAGAGTCAACAAACCCGTCAATCTGACATGTATCTCCACCAAAACACAGACCCGTATCTGCGGTACCCTTTAAGTACCTCAGGACCCATTTCACTGCTTCCCAGTGCGCCTTTCCCGGATTCGCCATGAACCTGCTAACCACACTAACCGCTTGTGAAATATCTGGACGTGTACACACCATGGCGTACATCAAACTGCCAACTGCACTAGCATAAGGAACACGCTCCATGTGTGCCTTATCTTCCGCTGTAGTGGGAGATTGTTTACCTGAAAGCCTGAAGTGTGAAGCCAATGGAGTCGTCACCGACTTAGCACTTTGCATCCCGAACCTCGCGATCACCCGCTCTATATAGCCCTTCTGGCTCAAGAACAATCGCTGATTCTCCCGCTCTCTTCTAATCTCCATACCCAGTATTTTTCTAGCAGCGCCCATGTCCTTCATCTCGAACTCTTTACCAAGTTGAGATTTCAACCTATCTATCTCCACCCCGCTCTTAGAAGCAATAAGCATGTCATCCACATACAAAAGGAGATAAATATAATCACCTCCACGAAGCTTCTGAATGTAAACACAGCAATCATAATCGCTTCGGGAAAACCCATGCTTTAGCATGAAGGAGTCAAATCGCTTGTACCACTGCCGAGGAGATTGCTTTAGTCCATAGAGTGACTTCCTCAAGCGACATACATGATGTTCCTTATTCTCAACCTTGTAGCCCTCAGGTTGATGCATGTAGATTTCTTCATCCAAGTCTCCGTGCAAGAAGGCCGTTTTAACATCGAGTTGTTCCAGCTCAAGATCACCATGAGCAACAATACTCAATAGCACCCGAATAGAAGTGTGTTTCACCACCGGAGAAAAGTTCTCATTGTAATCCACACCCTCTTTTTGTGCAAACCCTTTAGCCACTAGCCTCGCCTTGTACCTTGTACCACCGAGCTCTGAAGGATCTTCCTTTCTCTTATACACCCACTTACAACCAATAGCTTTTCTTTCTACGGGCAATGGGACCACTTCCCATGTTTGGTTTTTCCGAAGAGATTCCATCTCCTCCTCCATCGCAGCCAACCAACTCTCACTATTCTTGTCTCGAATAGCTTCCTTGAAGGAGACCGGCTCATCTTCCTCCACCGAGAGTGCGTATTCAACCAAATTAACCTGCCCATAGTGCTTCAGGGGTTGATCAGCCCCCAGCTTTTGTACCTGCTTGTATACTCGCTTTGGCCTAGTGGAAGCCAAAGTATCCTCGAGCTGCTGTTGTTGTAGTGCCTGTGTATTCTCCTACTGAACCTCCTCTTGCTCAAGCTCATCATCTACCTGATTTTCCACTTGAACATGACTAGAACCTGGTTGGTCTTTAGGTCCTATCTCAATAACCTGGGACTTTGAAGTCCCAACAGTCCCAACACCATCATCCTTGGGCGCCCTAGCAATCATAGATTTTTCATCAAAGGTAACGTCCCTGCTGATCACGAACTTCGAATCTTCTGTACACCAAAGGCGGTAGCCTTTTACGCCCTTTGCATACCCCAAGAATATCGCCTTCTTGGCCCTCGCGTCAAGCTTTCCCTCGTTGACGTGATAATAGGCGGTACATCCGAAAATTCTGAGCCTCTCATAATCTGCATGTTCCCCTGACCACACCCTATAGGGTGTATCACCATCTAGTGTAGAATGTGGAGAACGGTTCACAATGTAACATGCTGTAGCCACCGCTTCCGCCCACCATTCGTTGCCCAATCCAGCATAAGATCGCATACTCATTGCCTTCTCCCGCAATGTTCGGTTCAGTCTCTCCTCTAGCAATGCCCTCTTGATCACAGAACTCTTTGAAAGAACCGTCTGTATACTCTGTACCGTTGTCAGATCTCAGTGTCTTTAATTTCTTACCTGTCCTGTTCTCAACCATTGCTTTCCACTTCTTTAATGTCTCGAATACCTCATTCTTATGCTTAAGAAAATAAATCCAAGCATACCTAGAATAATCGTCTATGAACGAGACAAAATACTTGGAACCACCCTTGGAAGTTGTCTGAGCCGGACCCCAAACATCCGTGTGTACATAATCTAGTATACCTCTGCTCTTGTGATTACTTTTCAAGAATTGGACCCTGTGCGCCTTTCCATACACACAATCCTCACAAAAATCCATGCAAGGTTTCTTCAGATTCTTCAGCAAACCCTCCTTACCAAGCAGAACTAGACCCTTCTCTGACATGTGCCCAAGCTTCTATAGGTAGTAAACCACTTCCTATTTGGGCACATGTGGTAAGAGCAACCTGAATCAAGTATCCACTTACCGGAGGTATCTTCGCCACCCGTAACAACATAGCATTCTTTATCGCTCCCTTCCTCCGATGCGTAACTCGCCTCTTCCTTGCCTTCTCTTCTCTCGGTCTTGTTGTTGTTCTTTTTCCCACCTACTCTCTTGTTAGGACAGTCGACCTTGAAATGCCCAACTTCACCGCATTTGAAGCACGCTCGTCCCGCAAGGGGTCTCGATTTAGATCTAGACTTTCCTCCCTTGCCTTTTCCTCGCTCATTGCTCCTTCCTCTAGCAAACAATCCCTGCGCTTGTTCTTTGTTACCACCAGTAGTCATGTCACCGGTTGCAATCTTTCGAAGGTCATCCCCTAGAAGCGCCGTTCTAGTCTCATCCATCGTCAAATTGTCTCCCACAAGCATCAGTGTTTGCACCAGGTTCTCATAAGACTTCGGTAGAGATAGAAGTAGTAGAAGCGCTTGATCCTCATCTTCTACAGTCACATCGATGTCCTTCAGATCCGATATAATCCTATCGAACTTGTTGATATATTCCCGGATTGATGAGCCCTCCTCCATCTTGCAAGTATACAATTTGGATTTCAAATAGATCCGGTTTGTTAGACTCTTCGTCATGAAGGTGCTTTCTAACTTCAACCACACGCCCGCGGTCGTTTCCTCTCCATCTACCAAGAAAGCTACATCCCTTTCAAGGCAAAGGATAATCGACGCCCGTGCTTCCAGATCCAGCTCTTCCCAATCCTCATCCGACATATCTTTGTGCTTCTTCTCTTTTCCCTCCAAGGCTTTGTGCAATTTCTGCGAAATCAAAGTGTTCTTCATCTGCATCCTCCAATAGGAAAAATCATTCTTCCCATTGAATTTTTCAATCTCGTATTTTCCCACTTTAACTGTTTTACTTGTTGACGCCATTCTTCGCTTGTATTAGTAAATCCGCTTCTCTCAGGAAATTGCCGAGCACCACCTCAAACCAGAAGCTACACCACTCCCAATCTGATTAACAACTCTGATACCAATTGTTGGACGCAGAGTCACGCCCGCCGCCGCGGAAGCGATATCAGCTGAGAGAAAGCCCTGGCTTTTGTTGTCACAAAAGCACAAGTCAACCTCTATATTCTTGTTTCTCAAAGGAAACGAGAATAGATAATGAAATTCTTATTTCTCAAAGGAAACAAGAATCGAAAGTGATATATTTCATCAAAGTGAAATATACACTCTTCCTCTCATCAGCTCTAAGACCGAATTTTGAGGGATCCTACAAGCAATAGCCAACAATCCAGAAAACAGTAAATACACGAGATTTACGTGGTTCGGCAAACTTACCTACGTCCACGGGAGGGGTGAGGGGAGATTCCACTATGAGAAGAACACCGACGACTTGTACAATCCACAAGCTCGTCTGAAAGAAAAAGATCTAATTTTTACCCAAAAGAAATTAACCTCTCTTTTGTAAATCCCTCTTTTTCTCTCCTCAAAATCTCTCTTTTTCTCTCAACAAACACCAACAATTCCCTCTGCTCAGCCGCCAAAAGAAAACAAAATCCCTCTCTGACTTTTGCGATTTTTCCCAGCAGCTTTTCACCAAGCCGCTGTTCCCTTGCGTTTTGATTTCCCACACAGCCGAAAACCCTAGGGACATTAGGCTTATATAGGAGATTGATGCGGTTATAAGCCTAATAAATGGGCCTTGGCTTTTACCCGCTGGAATTGGGCAAAGCTCCTCATGCACACGTAGAGGTGTGGCCCCCACATAAACACCCCTGTTCACAATATGAGATAAAATCATATCCAATTATATCTCCTAATATGTCAATAATATCTCCATAATATACACCTTAACAAAAAGCATTCACCTAAATTCATCAAATGTGGTCATATAATGCAAATTGAATTCATCTCTATTGTTTTTCACTCGACGAACCTAAATTCATTAGATGTTGTCATATAGCATGCAAATTGAGTTCATCTCTATTGTTTTTCACTCGACAAAGTCATATATGGTCCTTCAATGACATCGTAAATATTTTATGTTAAAATCTCCATATGAATACAAATCTAAAGCCTTAACAAAAGAGGAAGTGCCACTATTCCATTGGTCCAAACAGAATCAAGTAAACTTTCACCGGGTCGTCTTCAACAAACGATCAGCCGTTAACTTTCACCTCATTTTCTCAAATCACATGTTAATTACTCGTTTTACAATGACCTTTTTCTTTAAAAATCGTAAGTTAAACTTGCAAGAAGGACCAACTAATTCATCCACAAATTGTTAGTGACGAAAAAAAAAAACTGTACTAGAAAAATTTCTCCAATACAGTACAAATACGAGGATAATGTATAGGTGAGCATAATTTTCACGTATGGAATCTTGCTGAATCCGGCATAACTATGCAAGTTACAAGAAACAACACCAATTTCTTTAGTAATGGATTTTGTATCCTTCAGTTGTACCTACTGTAACCAAAAAAAAGTCTTGAGTTAAGAAGACACTGGAGTAAGTATCTCTCAGTCCCAAAGCTAGCTGCAAAAACTAGAACAGACAGTGGATCTTTCTCTCCCATAACTCACTGCTGACTTTTTCCAGCGTCTCCCGCTTCTGTTCGCTCCTGCGCCTGAGAAGAAGCACATTAAACAAGGCCTGACTTAAGCTCACCCCACGACTCCTTTCGAGAGTGCCGCGCCTTCAAGCAATATACAAGTCCTCAAACTTCTCCCCTTCCTCGGTCCATCCTCGTGCAACTTCTTCACCCATTTCATCAAATCGCAACCTCTGAAAGCTGGACCCAGTTCAAGTTTCAGTCATTTTCTTTTCTCCTGCACATGAAGTCTGTGACACATTCAACAGAACCTGGAGACGGGGACACCCGCAGGTGGCGTCTAGTCTGTCTTTGCCTATTGGATCCCTCTCAATCAGCGTATCTGTCAGCCTTCTTCTGTGCAGTAGGCCAGATCTGTATGCCTAACTGTTTTAATTCATCTCGATTGTTAGAACTTCCGTAAGCTCTTGGATTCCAATCTGGCACTTGAGCTTGAAAGGATTTGCCCACTTGGATCACATAAGTTTTGCTTTTGGGTGGTGTTCGGACAACATCTAATATATCCTCGGATGAAATGTAACTTCTCTGCCACTTGTCAAGGATTCTCATGCCGATCTGCAATCTATTAAGCAGAAATGCTTTTGCTTGATTACATTACTACAGATATAAATTTATTCAAATAACGTTCTGAAACACCAGTTTCATACAATGTTGGCACTAGGACAGATTCAGTATAATTGTTGGTTTCAAAACTGAAATTAAATCATGATGCATTGTGAAATTAGGATAAAGAAAGCAGTGAATTAATAATCATGAATACCATAGATGTGGTATGTTTCACTTTGTTTTTCATGAACAAATCAATCCTGATTTTATCAGCTGCAACCATATCCAAAGCTGAAAAGACAAACAAAAAGAAAAGAAAAGAAAAGAAAAAAATTTATGACTTATGAGAATTAAGTAGTGGTGATTTATCATCTTATTGTATCTGCATATGACTCATATTTATGTCACATCTACAAACGTGAAGCAAAAATTGGGAAATTCAGGTACATGCAAACATTTTCACCTTATCATATCCTAGGTAGCAAAAGAACAATACGTAGTGGAAACAACTTCATGCTTTAATTGAATTGCTAAAAATATTTGCTAGTCTAACAAGTTCCGACTGGAGTGAGTATATGAAAATTGGATCAAAATAGCATTTCAAATGTATCTCAAATTGATGACTGACAGATTCTATATACATGAAAAGTACAACATTCTTGTAAATCAAAAAGATATATAGACTTGAGACTTGACAAAATAACTGATAAAACAAGATTGTTTTTTAGGTAATCTACGTACCATGCATAGATATGATTATGTGATACTATAAGGTTGTGCTAGCAGGCCATGTCAAATATAAACGAGGTGGACCTAGAATGATCCTTTAACCTTGCTTGACCAACAACAGATCGGTAATACACAGTAAATAACTCATCGAACATGACTTCCAATAACAATATGTTTGCTGGTTATATGTTTGACTCTTTAATTTGCAAAAACAGAAAAAATTTCAAATTTTCTAACTCTAGCAGACCACGCCAAGTTCAAGAACCCATTTGACAGAAGTGTTAAGCCGTTCAAGTTCAAGTTCCCCATGTGTATGGCGAGTACGCCGAGTAGCATCTACATAGGACAAGAGAAGATAGATAATCAATAATCACGTTACACATCAATGATGGAAATGGACCCAGGTTAAATAATCCCTATTAGCTTTGTAATCTGATGTTTAAATATAATGATGTTTAAGTCGTCAATAGTTTGGCAAGACAAAAATCGAGATAGTTGATTCAAGCTTATATCTGTATATATGTTACCATTAGCAATTTCTTGCACATGAATTAGACCAGTTAACATCTGTACCATTGAGCCAAACAAAAGAATATAGAAAAAGTAAAAGGCTAAAGAGGCATACTGGTTTTATCTTATGAAACATTGCTTCTCGAGCCATGAGCGGTTCGGAAAACATCAAATGGGATGCAGAATCCTATTCTATGTTTCCAGTTGAAGGATCCCAAGGTCTCCTTGCTGCCGATAACAACCAATCTAACATCCCCACTAGAGAGTGCTCCCTCTTCCTGTGCTCCCTCTTCCTCTGCCCCTTCTTCACCCGCGAAATTTCTTGCTCAGCCTCAACATAATCCAAGATAACATCATCATCATCATCAAGAAGAGATGAAATCTTGGTCTCCTATTTTTTGCTATTAAAAGATGTGCCGTATAAAAGCCTGTTGAACTCATCAAGATACTTCAAATAGACTAATTCCACCAGCAACCCGTCTCTCAAATTGCACCCAGTTTTCTTGGCCACTGAACCCCATAGCTGATTTGCGGTGATGGAGTCGCACCCACCATTTTCAGCAACTCCCTGATTTAGCTAAAAAAAGGTCCACGCTCTTGTCATTCGTGAGCTTAGTTGGATGGAAAGGATTTCTTGATTCTGATGGGTTTCTTCCAAGAATGCAGAGATGATCCTGTCAAAGAGAGAACTTTGTGATTTCTTGTTGGATTCTTCGATGAAGGGGTTGAGGTCGGAGCAGAATCCTAGCATTTGGAGCTGACGGAGGATGCTGAGGATGCTTGGAGGAGATGAGATTGAGCCTTGAAGAATGATACTCTTGGTATGGAATCACCTTTTCCAGTTGGCCATGATTAATGATCGTTAATAATCTACCAAATAAATGAACACTTGTCCCCTAAATAATGATCCAAGAATCGTCACTTGACTAACAGTATTTCTGTATTAAAAGATATTTGCAAAAAAACAAAAAATTATATTGTAAAGGATACATGCATTTATACAGGATATTGTTCACACTTTCTATCTGCCTAACCTCACATTAGAGATTGCAAGCATATTGTAGAACAGTGCACCTCTTCCTTCACCCACCCACAAGTTTCTCCACAAAGTAGTAAACTACATTATTCAACTTCCAGTTGAAATTAGTCGAACAATCTAACAGAAAGAAACATCATACAAAAATGAAGATGTATCAAATATCAAAACTGAGTTCAGAATCAAGTTGTGAACCAGAAAGATCGATGCATGTAATTGTACCTGTAACTTTTCATGGGCAGTTTGGATCGACAAGTATGGCGTGTTATTTTAGCGTGTGCACAAACTCAACACCATATAACATTTATACATACCTTTTCTAGACATGGTCTCTTGGAAGAGGGGAGCGGATACCAATTTTGACTGAACGAAGGGAGAGAGATAAATGAGTCACCATTTAGGGTTACAAAATTAAAAGCTGGACTTGCACCTCATCCATCAAGACCTCAAATTTTCAGCGATCCCTCAAACTATTATAACACGAAACTAAACATGATGTCATGATCACAATCATGTGAGATTATGTTACAGCCATTTTATAGTGTAAGAAAAATCTGAAGGTTGCCTAGCTATTTGGGCCTAAATTTACGAATCTAATAAGCTCATTTAAATCTAAACATAAACTGAATCTAAACATAAATAAATAAGATCAAGTTTGCAATTTTTCGCTTTCCTCTTGACCACCCCACAACCGCACACGCTCTGAAGCTTGTGCAGCCTGCAATTAAACATGCATATTGAAGTTAGTGAAGTCTGTTAGTTTACTTTCACAGAGATTTTAAGTGTTGAGAGCTACTTGATCAATAAAATCTTTTATGTGATCATAGTCAATTATGAGTTTTTAGAGTATCCATCTTCTTATATAATTTTTCACTAGATCTTAACCTATGTATCAGAGGAAGAATCCTGAAGTTGCAATGATTATTGATTTTTGAAGTCAAGGATATTTGTGGAGTTGCATGTTTCCATAACTCATAATTTCTTAAAAATAAAGAAGGTGAGAGAACGATAGCAGATTTACCTCCTCCTTCCAATTAGTTCTCCAAACTATGACTAATAGAATTAACGTTTGAAGTGCAGTCCCGCAGAGCATGCCCGCCCAAATTCCCTGATATCACAATATCCATTTATCATGAAAAGCTGATACGAGAATTCAAGGACAAGTAACTAAAGAAAGAATTTCTTGAATGGCAATATCTTACAAAAGAGAAAATAACTTGAGTAATAAAAGCACCTAATTTTGAACTATTTACACAAGAAGGGTCCTGAGTGCACATAATATCATGAGTAGCTACTTCATTAAGACAAGTTCGCACAATTTTACATTATAGGAATTGAAAAGCCAAAAGAAGAAGTGCTAGAGCCAAGTAAAAAAAAGATTACTTCATACATTCCCCGTTATAAAAGAAATAAAGCAAATTCTTAGATGCTTCCTTGAAAAGCATGCATGATTTTGGCCATTCTGACGCTTAATTACTAGGGGTGCATTCGGTCCGGATACGGCTCGGATATGATGCTTACCATATCCATATCCGCTTACCCATCTCGGATACGGATACGGATATACCTCGGTAAGAAAAATTTATAACCATATCCGCTAAAATCGGATACGGTTACGGATATTCATGCGGATATATAACTGGATATGCATGCGGATACAAAACAAATATGAGAAAACTAGATAGTATTGAGAAAAACATAGTTCATGTGATACAAAAGAGTTCGTTAATATGTCCATTATAACTAAAAAGTTAAGATTAGACATCTTGATCATCAAAATTAACCACAAATCCATAATCTAAGAATCAAAACTATCGTAAGAGTATGACTAATATGTATTCGGATATTTCGGATACGTACACAGATATTTCACTATAAAACCATATTCATAACCATATCCTATCGGTTATAGATTTGAGTAACCATATTCGTATCCTAACGGATACGGTTACGGATATTTCATCGGATACGGATACGGTTTAGCACCCCTATTAATTACCCTTCATCTACATATTTTTGGGTGTTGTAAAGCCTAATTCCCTTCATCCGTCTTCAGACTGAATACTTCCTCTTCAATAACTCCTTTATTTGCTTTAAAAAAATAATTACCATTTGAAAATCGATTTTTCAATCACTTTTTAAAGCTTAATTTTTTTAAGCTTATCCTTTAAAAGTTTTTTGATAGTCAAAAATTTTGCTAGGACGAAAGTGACAAGAAAATAGATATATCTATGAAATTTAACAATATTATTAATATTCTTGCCATGAATCAATTCTCTTTAGTTATAATGTGAGGGATGAGTATAGTTTCTCTTTTCTTTTTCCAAAAGCATAGTCCCATTTATGGTTCAAGACCCTGACAATAGTTTCTTACTGCGAAATTCAAATTGATTAACCGAAGCCAGTACTCTAGTAGCATGTTCCAAAGCTAATAGGAAAGGAAACAGCGCAACGTTTCTTCCAAAAATGCTATACCCACAGTTCCACTGAAAAAAAACTGCTATTGAAATACTAATTACTAAAAGTCAACAATTACCTCAACTCCCCAGTGGAATACATATCCGAAAAGAAATCCTAGAGGAAGACCAAATACATAGTAGCATCCCAAGTTAATGTAAGCCACCATTCCCTGCCATCCACCCCCAATTGCAACTCCTGCCTCAAAAATAAAAAATTGAAAGAAAACTCATTTCAGAACTGCTATTCTTAGCAAAATATAATCTATGATCAGCTCATAGATCATCCTTTTCCAAGTATCGAGATTAAGACAGTCAATGATGAATTACACTGCATGTCAACTGAAAAAACAGAAATCTCTGGACCTGAAATCACTGGCTGGATGCTATTAAGCACCATGGTCACGCCAAGAAGACCAGCTATATTAGAAACTGCTCGCTGCAAATTTTTGTCGCTTGTGAAGATGACAGGGAAATAATCTCTCAATGCTAATATTCCGACCATGCTAAAGAGACCAATTGCAAGTGAAGTGGAAATCACAACAATTACAGCATACATGGTGGCTCTCGGTCTATCTGCTCCAAGCTCATTTGAAACTCGAACACTGGTGACAGAAGAACAACATAGATTGGTAGCTGCAAACCTATGATTCCATTATAAATAAAGTGATAATGTTGGGAGCTCTTACCTTATAGCAGCATTGATCCCAATGAAGATCATGCCCTCCCATCCATTTATGTTCATGCTGAAAAAGAAGAGAAACAAGTCTTAGCAAGTAATCAGAAGGCTTCAGGGGGAGCTATTGGGTACTGGCAACTAACAACACAGAGTATGAAGTCTAGGTACTTGGGAAGTAGTGATTATCTGGTTCTAGGAATCCCAAGGATCATAAACTCACTAGAGTGAAGTCTGAATCCTGATTAGAGCTCTGAAATTGTTAAAATTTGAATTACAACCCTCGTTTGTTTTGCCAATTAATTTTTTCAGCTTAAGAACTCCCAGATACCTCAGATAAATAATATTGACACAACATCAAAAATTAAAGATGCAATTTAGTTTCCCTAGCAAAAGATGGTAGAAGAACGCATCAGCTCACCAAATGGAAATGGAACCAACTGCAATTTCTGCATTCTTGAGGTGGCCGGCGAGTACAACTAGAACCATCATGTACCAAACCTCGAGACAAAGCATGACAGCAGAAGCAAAAGACAATCTAACAAAAGCCCAGATGTCCTTAAAAGCGTCCCAAGAGAAGCCAGTCCACCCTTCCTTGCACCACCCCATGACATACACAACCTGAGCCAGAGCCACTCCCCACATTGAGATGTTATAGGCATAGATGAACAGCCATAGCAAAAATACATGGAACAAAAGGCCGGCCCCACCAATCCAGGCGAGGAACGAGACTTTGCTCTGGGCCTGAAGGAACTTCTGGCTCGGGAAATTTATGGCGAGGGCGAACATCTGGGGAATGATCTGCACCGTGAAACTGCCAGCGGCTTTGGCAATGTTATCATCTTGGCCAAGGAGTTTTAGAATGGGTGTCGCGAATAAATAGAGCGGGCACATGAGGAGTGCGGAAGCGAGGAGGATGATCCAGGAACGCTGCATGTAGACGCCAAGCATCGCGACTTGTCCTGCACCAAACGCTTGCCCACATAGCGTCTCTAGCGCACTCCCCATGCCGAGCTTGTCAATTGTAAAGAAGAAAAGATTAGTCCTACGATCATGTACTCCGTCTGGAATCAAGCATCCATAAGCGGCGTAAATTTTGTGGACTTACCAAAATTCCTTTAGCTTAAAAATTTTAATCTGAAACTATCGAACATGAATTTAGAAAAAATAAATAAATAAACAAACCAAAACATACTATTTAAACTTGAAGGGTTTTTCTCAGGGGAAGTAATTTCAACCTGAAGTTTAAGATTATTTATATATATATATTTTTAAAAATATAAAACAATGCAGGGTATATGAAGCAGCAACGGTAGCAGCACCCGAAGCATTGAATTAATTTTTGGAGAGCACGCCAAACGAAAGCCAAAAGAATGCACGACGGAACCTAGTTCCACGTCCACATGGCCATTTCCAAGACCAACCAACCTACCTACTTCCCACGCATGACGACATTTATTACTCGGGGGAAAGAAAAAGGAAAAAAAAGGAAAAAAAATATATAGAAAAATATCTAGCGGAGGAGTGTTTTAATGCCAATTAAGAAAATAAAAAGAATTCGATCGGGCCGGGATGGGATTGCTTACGAGGAATCCAAAAGACAAGTTGCTGATGACGGAGAGCCCGATGGCGACGGCGGAGAGCTCGAGGTTTCCGAGATGCCCCACAAAGATCTGGGTCGAGGAATTGAGGCCGTAGAGGCAGAGGACGTTGAATCCAATGGGCACCGCGATGGCCCAAAGCTTCTTGGATTCCATCAGGAACATGGACCAAGCGTCGCCCGCCGATTTGACCACAGCCTCATCCTTCACGCTCACCGAACCCTTGCGCCCCCCTCCTCCTCCTGCGGCGCCGCCGGCGATGGGATCGGCCTCGAGGTCTCCGGCCTCCATCGCGACCGCTGCGACGAGTCTTCCTCGGCCGGCATTGTTGCGGGTCCTCCGTTGCGAGGTTTGTCGAGAAACGGCGTCTCCATTGTCGTGGGTTTTCTATTAAATTATATATACTTTCTGTTCAACTTTTTTTTTTAAAAAAAAATTCCTAATTTGGTACGGACGATGGAGAGCTGAGGGCGGGGAGGGGACTAAAATTACGGTTGCTCTCCCTCTCTTCTCGCTGACGGCTTTTAATATCTAATAATTCTATCTCCTTCATCCAAAATGAACTGAAGTGAAGAAGAAGAAGAGGAAATAGGTATCATTTGGGAATTTGGAGATTTAATTAATAGAGAGCCGAGCGAAATAGTCTAGAGTGCGAGGTCTCGTTTTTATAGGAGGAGGCTGCCCGACCCTCCATCCGTCACGTGACTCTTTCTTTTTTTTATTAATGATAACGGGTCACGCGAAAATTTGAACCTTTTTATTCGGGGTGGTACTAGGGACACACCCCCAACCACATTCCAAACCACACCTTCTCTATCATATGTTACAGTATATCAGGCCTCACATGGGATTTTAAAATTTTAAAATCTCATGTGAGGCCCGGTGTACTGTAGCATATGAGATAGGGGGTATGGTTTAGAATGTGATTTGGGGTGTGCCCCTATCATTTTCCTTTTTATTTGGGCTTGGGCTTGGCGTGAGACAGGACTTGGAGACGAAAGAGACACATCAATGTCGGTGATGAATCATCATGCTTGCGATGAAGGTGAAGAGAGTGCCATTAGATAATTTCCCCAGCCGCCATCCGTACTGAAAAAAAAAAAATAAAGCCGATCTCCATGTAGAATTGGGGGTTGGCACGTGGTGGCTGCCGATGATGGAATGATGGTTGGCTTCGAGCCCCTTGGTCACTTGAAAGCTTCGATAATTGTAACCCGACTACTGCTGCGAATACGTAGGTCACGCATCCAAAACCCCAGCAGCATTCACTTTTACCAAATATTTCAGTTTTACCAAGGAATAATGCTGATAAAATCATGTGTTCACACTTAGAAAAACTCAAGAAGATACATATATCCAAACCGTATCTAATTTAGGAAAAGGGATTAATTGAGGATATAGACCCCCTGTACCGTGGCGAATTTGAGCTTAATTACCATCAATGTAGTTTTGTTGTTACAGAAAAACCCTTGAAAGAGTTCTCTTATTGTAGATATACCCAGTAGTTTCTTTGATTTTATAATTTGGTAATTGTTTGTTCCTCATTTACATCCCTTCCGAACTGTGGTTAACAATTTTGATTGTAAAAATGTATCAAATAGACTAATACCAAAGCACCCCAAAGATTTAGGGGACTAGTCTCAAAAATGTGAAGATCTTGGATTCTATTTTCAAATATGAAAGATTATTATTATTATTTATTTATTGAGTGGAAACGGTTGGGCGGGGTGAGGCGGTGGGGCGTGAGCGGGGGGGGGGGCTCCGGGCGGGCGTGCCTACTTTCAAATGCTGAGGATGATTTGGAGAATAGTTTTTGGAACACTTGGGAGGTCCAATTCAAAATATACATGAAAGATATGGGGACTATTTCTGTATGAAAGTTTTATTGGACTAGTTTCAAATATCCCATATTTGGAGAACTAGTTTCAAATATGAAATATATGGCGATTATTTTAAAAATGAAAGATCGGGGAAGTAATTGTTAAATGTAAAATGTTAGGAATTAGTTTCAAATATGAAAAAGTTGGGGGACTAAGGGCCCGTTTGGATAATGGAAGTACTAGAGGTAAGAAGTAAATTATGAAAGTAATTTCTAAAACTATGAAGTAGGAAGTAGCGGAAATAGCATTTTTTTTGTTTGTTTCATATATTTTAGAAGTAATGGAAGTAGAACTTTTTCCTTTACTTTTTTTTGTTTGGATGATATTTGGAATTATTACTAGGAAGTAATTAATACATGTTGCTTCCACTTTATTCTTGTTTGGATTGTCATTGTAATGGAAATAGAGTTGTTGTTGCCATCAATTGAAGAGACCAATATTCATAGTTGATTTGCTTGATATATAATAAAGGTAATCTTACATTTTTGGATCAAGGAGTATGACACGAAACACTGAGGATAGCAAGGGAGCATCTGCAGCAAACAAGAAAGAAACATAATAAACTATGGCACTAGTCAAGTACGAGGATTTCAGTTTCTTATGCCTGCTATTTCGTGCAATAACAAGAAAATGAATGAAAGCAAATCATCAGATAAATAATGCAGTACGAGGATAATGAGATGCGCAGCATAATTGCAACAAGCACATTAAATATCTGTTGAATTTATTAAAAAAAAGAAAGCCATCAGATAACTATACCTTCGAAGAGAACACAAATATCACATGATGACGTGGGTGGGGGGGGGCACTGATGCGGCGGAAGTAACTATTTGTTTGCACGGAGAATTCTAGTTGGTTATAAAAATAATCTTATCACTCCCTAATTATATATTTGAGGATCTTTTTTTCATGGTGGACCCCACTCTATATCAACTTCTGCCTATTTCAGTGCATTTTGGGACGGAAAAATATTAAGGAAATGTAGATGCCACATAGACGCCATGTCATCATTTAAGGAAGTAGCGGAAGTAGATTTTTAAGAGAAACAAACATACTTTTTTGCCTGGAAGTAACAGAAGTAGACTCTACTTCCTCTACTTCTGCTATTTCACAGTTACTTCTGTGCAAACAAACGGGCCCTAATATGAAAAGCCCGATATATAGGGTAATGACTAATGTTAGCAAAAGCTAGACTGTCCCCTTTAGCTCCGTCATTGGTCTTTAAATACAAATTTATGGTAACAGTGCCATATCTATTTCAATTTGCTAAAAAAAAAAGAGGCACAGAGAAAGAATCTAGGAGATTAAAAGAGAAGAAAAGCAAAATGAATTAGTTAAGATGAAGATATAGAGCAAGTCAAACTAAAATTCTTCTCTTTGTGGTGGTGTAACCACCAATAGCCAATAGGGAGACTTGTTACTTTCTGTTGAAATTGAATCATGCATCACGATAACAGAATGACTAATATGAGATGGGTAGGGAGATTAATCAGATTATGCGACGATGAAAAACATCTTGAACCCCATTTTTGGACGAATTTATCCCAAAAGGATACTTGTTTTGCTCTCATCCATGACTTTAATTAAGCCCACCGCGCTTCAATGAAGATCGTGAATGATGACAAATAGTTGTTATCTTGTACGCTCGAGCCGCTGGCATCACGTTGCAACTCATGAACCACGCATGGCGACGGTCCGTGGGTTTGGTTGTCCGAGCGGTGCTGTAGCTTGCCACGTTTCAACCTCGGCCCAATGGGCCCCTCGAATTTAACGAACGTAAATAAAAATGAATCACCCTACTGACCTGCAAACGATATAACCGTCAGTTTTTGTCAATTTTGGCATCTTCCTCAGCTTGTGTGAAAGCGTCTGCAATTGATGGGATAGCGATAGAGCGCAAGGCCCGGCACGAGAGAGGGAAAACCCAAAGAGCCCAGTTTACGTCGGGCCCGTTTGCACACAACAGACGACTTTTAGATTTTTTTTGTAATTGATTCGCCTTTACGAGAAGTTCTTGGACCAGGGCTAGTCTTACATCATTACCACACAAAACTTAAATCATGCAGGCCACATTCGGATGCTCTTGGGCTAAAAGCATACAGCCCACATTCGGATTAGAAAATTTAGTTGCGGCCGCCGAAGACAAACTCAGCTGTCAAGCTGACGTCCATGCTTGAAACAAGAGCCCACCAGAAGGTGACGATGAAAAGCCGCTACGCTAACCTTAAACGTGGTCCGCAGGTTCAGTGGACCGCGAGCTCGCCTCCCCGAGCCAGGTGCCTCAGTCAGCGTGCGTTCGTGACAGCTCAGCACGCCAAACCCCATACTCCACTGGGTACCACTTTGACAGGGGTATTTTTGGATTTTACTCATAAGTTGATGACGCCATCTCCTGATTGCGGGGTGAAATTTTGGGCCATCTTTTTAGTTTTTTATTTTAATCCTCACATATATTTTCTCTTCCTCTCACCCTTTCTTGACTCTCTCACACACGCTCTCTCTCCTCATTTCTGACTATAAAAGTGACCGGAATCTTTGTTTCCCCCTTCCTTTTTTCTTCCTCCCATTTTATTACCCTTTCGGTAGTTGGGTATCCTCGTCTCTCCTATTTCCCTTTTATAGATTAAAATATCAATATATTAATATAATAGCCTCATCAGTCCCCATTCTCTCTCTCTCTCTCTCTCTCTCTCTCACTAAAGTCTTAAACGAGGGATGATGATGGAGACGGAGAAGAGGGAAAGGCCCCCGAAGCCTCTCGCTTCTCCGACGACGACGGCCCCCAAACGAATCAGGGTCCCGATATTTTGATCAGGATTCGGTCATCCTTTCTCTTTCTGTGTTGTAAGCAATTATCGTGTGATCCAATCAGTCTGCTGAATTGTTATTAAGCACTAATGGTTTTCCATCTTATGAATTCTTAATTAGGGTTTACTCTACAATTTGATCTTCGGTTATGTAACTTCAAATAATTATGTTGTTTAGCTCTCTGATTGATGATGAGTTCTCTTTCTCTGATTCATCTTTTCACATGCTTTTTTTTTTGGTTCATTTAATTTTAATTTATCACTCAAGATTGCCACCGGAATTAGATTGGTTGAATATGCAAATACTCAATAAACTAAAAAGGAACAGGTGGCTTGGAGATCTTGATGTTTAACTAAAAATTAGCGATGAGCTCTTTTATTTTTATGCCTAATTGCTCTATAGAGTCCATGCTCTTCTACTTCCTCTTGCCTAATTGATTGTAGTATGGGGGGGAAGGAAAGCCTCTTGTCCGGTGAAAACTCACTGAACTGTCCGCTATCATGATTGATGATGGATTAATAACAAAACTTTATCAAGAGACAATTGATGGCTGATATCAGTAAATGAATCTAAAACACTCTGCTCTATTAAGAATTTGCTGATTAAAGAAGATAAATTGTGGTACATGTTACTGGAGATGATACTTCGATGATGGTTGTGTGTGAAGTAGACTATGTTGAGTTGAAACCCTGTTACCGAATTTCATACCTCTCTTTTGCATGCTGTCTTTCTAAGTTGATGTTAAATTTTGGCGCACCATTTGAACCTGAGGATTATAAACTTACAAGGGCTAGCTAAGGTTTTTGAATATCTGCAATTTCTCAAGTGTTGCATGCAATTTGGCTGACAATGTGAAATCCATTCCCGATTTCTGAACCATGTGACTGCTAAACATCTTTGTACGTCTGTGGTATCGTTTTACATCACTTCTAATGTGAATGATTTACTTGGCTTTATCAAATAGTTGATGGATGATTGAATCTCAAAAATAACCTTCACTTTAATAAAAGGAACCATTTCTTAGCTGTGTACTCTCTTTGAGGTAACTTTGAGCTGTGTACTTGCTTGTGAGGAGAAATAAACTCTTCAGGATGCTCTAGTTACAAGAACACTACTAAGTTTATGGGTTCTAAATTACATGATGAAAATGATAGATAGGTCTCCTCGACGTAAAATTGCACCGCAGCCGTAATGGGAGTGAGGTGCTTTAAAAGGGCAGTCAAGAGCTAAAACGGCGGTGCTAGAAGGGAACATTTACGCGAGAAATTGAATCTTTGGTGTGTGCCATCAGGCAGGATGTTATATAGAGGGTCTAAAAATAATATAGAGGAAGAAGACATGTAGGTTTTCTGGTCATGAAGCTGGACCTAATCCCTCTATTGTTGACCTTCAGTTCTTTGTTGGTCCATCTTCAACAAAGGTGCTTCCGGAAGAGCATGAAGATTGAAAAAGGTGGTGCGTAAAGAGAGTGATTCTAGAAGATAGGAAGAAAGAAAGAAAATAAAGAAAATGAAGAATTGATGCCTAGAAACTATTATGTTCTTTACACTGATAAATATGCAGCTGTTATTAATTCATTATGAAATCTTCTTCCGTTTGTTGTTTCATATTCTTGTTAATATTTTTAGCTATACATGACATTGCTGCTTCAAGATTTTACTATGAAGTTTTTCATTTGCATTTAAAATTTGTAATCAATTCTGCATACCAAACTCAATTACTTCATATGTTTCTTGTGTCAAATAACAGGGGGTGTGGCCCCAGCATCTTTTCTCCTTCTGTTGAACAACAATCTTGAAATAGGTAATCAAATAAGTAGATAATGGGTGGTTGCTGTTGCTGTGCATCAAGAAGAGCTGAATCAGATAGATCGCCGGTATACTTTTATGTGCGTACTTTCTCTTTGCTCCACTTATTCTGCATTACCATGCAAGTCGTGCCTACGCATGAGGCCTTTTCACATGGCCGAAATGTGAGAAGAGTATACATGAAATATTTACAGTTAGACCTGATACCATTTTAGGAGTCATGATTCCGGCACACTTGTAAGTCAGATTTATGAATCAGATTTTTATTTTCTTTTTTTTCTTCCCTTCCCAGCTATCCTGTGTGCATTTACAAATCATGTTAGCTAGTTACTTTATCAGGAAGCTGAAATTTTTTTTGGAAGTAGCTAATTTAATAGCTTTCTATGAAATGCTCATCTAAGATGGTACCTGATTATTATATTTCAAGAGGTCCTTGGTCCAATCATCATTTACAATTTAACCAAAATTTTCTGCCTTACCAAGCAAGTCCCGTTTTTACGTCAGAGCCTCTTTCACATGGATCCAAATGCCCGGTTGATGAGGAGAGTTTAAGTTTCATTGTTGTTTGGTTAACACTGTTAGCTGATAACATGTCAGACCAAGTTTTTGGGTCAACTGATATCTTACTTCCTTTTTCTTTTTTGGGTGAGAAGAGGGACCACAACCTTGAAAGTAAATAAAAGAATGGAAGGATTAGTACAATAAATTATGGAAACAGCCTCTTGTAAGAAAATGCAAAGTTGTGTACTATAGACCCAAAGTGGTCTGGCCCCTTCCTGGACCCATGCATAACGGGAGCTTCGTGCACAGGGATGTCCGTTTAAGGATTATCAGCACAATAATTTTTGAACATTCTTTAACATTAACTGTAATGCCTCCTTTTTTTTAAACAAAAGTGACGAAAATTCAGTTCCATCATTGGTGTCGATTTGTGGATGTCACAGTTTTTTAATCTAGTAACAATTTTATTAAATTCCTTTCCTTTGTAGTGACATATCAATAGACAACTTAAATTGTCATCTGAATATGTCATGTGAAGTGTGATATTTATTATCTCTTTTCCAGTGTCCGCGAGGGTTAGAGGAGAATGAACCTTTATCTGCCTCCCATGTTATGTCGACTGCAATACCTGCTGGACTTCTTGTTGGTCCAAATGTGGATACATCAAGTCCAGATACTTATCGAGCACCGCCTCCCCCAATGCCTTACAATGTTTCCTTCACGTGCTCACAAACTGTTCCCGGAAATACTGATAATTGTGGCAACAAGCAATCAGCAGATCCATTGTCAGCAGGTGGAACAACAAGTCCTGATGAAGATTTGAAAGTACTTGACTGCAAAACTAAAAGTGATTATCTGGTGGACTCTCCTAAAGCGAAAGATGAAAATTTGAAGTTGGAGACTAAATCTGCAGCTATGGATGAGGAGGATGTCTGCCCCACTTGCCTAGAAGGTATTGATTTTTGTCGTCATATAAACATAGTACCTCGCATTTGTTTCTTATTTGCTTAAGCAGTAAAAATGTGTCGTCAGATGAAGCATGTTTGATGACCATTTCTTATTTGCGTATAAACTTAGTACCACACATCTGTTTCTATTTGCATTGGTACTAATATGTATTTGCATTAATATTAAAAGTATTGCTGTTTCTTTCTTTCTTTCTTTCTTTCTTTCTTTTTGCTGGATTGGAGATATTCTTGATAATGAATAATTGATGGTATGGTTGCTTCTAGTTTTGCTGATGTACTCTTGTCTTGTTCTGCATTTCATGATCTTCATGATTAATTTATGGTGGCAATATGAACCAGAGAAGAGACAAATAGATATTGAAAATTTGACATTGGATCGGACATCTAGCCAAATATTTTCTATAGAACTGACCCTAACCAATCAAATGTCAGTCTACAGTAGGAGAGACTTGAATTCACACATCTCGATGCAGTTTACTACTCTTTTCCTGTCTTATTGATTTATATGCATCAGTAAGGTCTTACTTTTACAAGATTTCTTATAGATTTGCCTCAAAAGTTATGTGAGGAAAGATTTTTTCATTTGTCCTGGAAGGAAGATTTTAATCCCTTTTGAGTTATATTCTGCAGAGTATGACTCAGAGAACCCTCGCATCACCACAAAATGTGAGCATCATTTTCACCTTGCATGTATACTGGAATGGATGGAGAGGAGCAATACTTGCCCCGTATGTGATCAGGTTTGTTTAGTCAGGCAATGACTGCTGCTATTTCCATTCAAGAATCTATTTTTTTAATAACTCAAAGCAACTTGCATAGCTAGAAACATATCGCAAATTCAAGAAGCGACAATTGTTACTTATCTTATGCAAGCTTACGGGCTCAACTTCTCATACGAGTTCTTTCTCATTAGACTGCCATGATCCTCATCTTGAGGATTGTTTTACTCTTAATGACAGGAAGTAAAGGGGGGAAATTCCTTTTTTTTTTTTTTTTGATCTATTTCTCCGTTCATTATGTCTTGAGTATTGGGTTCAGTTTCTTGGGCATTCCATGTGCATGCAGATCATGGAGATTGATGAAACCCGTCGAGAGTAGATCTCCTTATGTGCCGAAGCAAAGCTTGATAGTCTTTTTAACCTGGCAGGGTTTAATGCCAAGCCTGAATTAAAGAACCATATATGCTCGACCCTTTTCCAGGCACCCTCAGGCTGGAATCTTGTTACTATAACGGGAAGATAATCTTGTGATGCCAGGTGAAATTCTTTTACTACCTAAAAACAAAAGGGGGAGATGGAAGGAAAAGGAAATCATATGTTGTTAGATGCAATTTCTTCTTAATGGATAATGTAAATCCTGATCTCTCTACTCTTTTATACTTTCTTACGGTCTGGGGCATGCGGGCGAGGTGAACAGCTGCTTTCTTATATAGTTTGTTTTTGCAAAGCTTCCTTTTCTGTCTGCTTTAGCTTTTGCCTTTTGTGCATATTATAGTTTCCCATAGGTGCGAGTGCTAATAGGAATTCTGGTGTCGTCTGTATTTGTACGTCTAGTTTGTTCCTGCGATTCCTCTGATCATTGTAATGATAAGTGCTTGAATGATAAATGAGATGGATTTCCCAACCAGTAAGCCAGCTTCTAAAAGCCCATATTATGAGATGCATTTTTTGTGTATTGATCACGCTTTACCCGGAGGTTGAATTTTTCAGACGTTCTGCTGCATGTTATTGTCAGAGAACTTTGGAAAATAGCGGTATGCGAGATGCTCTTGTTCAGGAAAATTGAAGGAATTTCATGTGGCATGGTGTACTTTTTGACAATCGACATTGGAAAAAAAAAACCTAATGAGAGCTGGATGGTGTTAAGATGTATGAGTATACCGATCGAACGTTTAATTGCCTTGATTTGTTTTAATTTTTTAATTTTTATTTATTATTTATTTATTTTGAGAGAACTTGATGAGGAGCACGTTCAGTTTTTTAGCTACGGCGCAGTGAGAAGTTATATAACATTTGAACTTTGAGGAAGACGATGATATTTCTCTTGCACAAAAGAGCTTTTCCGAGGAAAATTCTGTATGCTTTTTCGTCTGGGTTGCTCCGTGGTTCTCGTCTCTTGCTTAGGTTGGGCCTCAGCCTACGTAGGGTGAGGCCAACTGAGATGGAAAATTATTGCGGAAACAAAAGATACGTGGGTTCACTGATTGAAGATTTTGGCGGTACGGCTACCTACACGCGCTGGTTGCAACTTTTTGCCAACTCCTATGAAATATATGATTCTTCGCATGGAACTTGTTTACGGATTCATGCAAAAGGCAAAAATACAAAATTGGAAGGACGATGGGAATGGGGACTTATGAAGAGATGCTATCGCTGCATGTAATATTTAATTAGTAATTTAATTAGAGTAGGACGATGGGAATGGGTACCGTTCCCTGCATTGAGCGGCAAAATCCTGTTGCGTCTTTTATCCCTAGGTTAGTGGGTAGCGTTCACACTCTGCATAGGTTGGTGGAATTTCATCATCATATCATGGAATATTATTCAGCGGGTTATTTTAAAAAAAAAAAAAGAGGAAAGCATACGTTTTTTTTTTTGCAATAACGTTATTTCAACACCAAACTTTGATGCTTTGCAAATTAGTTCCACTTTTGATTAAACATCGCCTTTGGTCATATTCTACATTCTTCCCTCGTTCTTGAAGTTGGTGAAACAGCTGCGTGCGAGACCCCATTTTGACCTCATAGGCTCTTTCTTCTCAGGGAATGGGTCCCAGCCCACAGTCCGCAGGGCCACAACCTCTCCCTCTTTTTGATCGCAGAAAGAACCCTTTTCCCCCTTCCTCCTTTCTCTTCCCTTTCTCAATCATCCATACCCACTCCAGACTACGCTCTCTTTAATCTCAGGAGGAGGGAGGAGGAGCGGGGATGGTGGGCAAAATTCCATCGTGATGGCCGGAGAATCTACCCTCGTCGATCTTTTCCTCCTCTTCCTGCTTGC